TACTGTAATTCTATATTCACTATCTGTATAATATTCAATTTACAAATTGAGTTAATCTTAAAACGGTATTTAATACTTTAAAAGAACAATTGTTTTCAATTAGATTGTTATTAGGCTTTACTCTAATATACATGAATATTTATACGAGAATGTTAAATCAATCATGGCAATTTAAGTCAATAACCACAATCAAATAGAATATATCACCGCGTATAATAGGCAGCAGTACAAGTTAACATTTTCGTCTAAATATTCATGTATATTAGAGTAAAGACTGATGATGATCTAATTGAAAACAATTATACACTTACATGTGTTGTTCTAATTTTCACAATGGGAATCTTTAATAATAATACTTTAAAACAAGATTGTTTTTAATCATTTTCAATTAAGTAATCCTGAATTAGTCAGATAACTTGTAAAAACAGTTATTTATCTAATAAACTAAATACTTGATGTATTCAACAGTTATGATATGAATAGTGGACTTTAATCTGAATCTCATGATTACTTTTATAGATGGTTACGTCTAACAAGCGTGTATGTCGGAATACTAAATAATAAACTTCTGAAGATTTTAAGGACATTTTGTTTCGTCAGGAAAGAGATATTCACTAAACTATATATTGGAACTGTGTTTTAGAAAACATGTGTTTGAAGTGCATTACATTTCTGACAAATGCAAAGTCCAGAAGCTGTTTAGTTACATAGAAAAACCATTCGTTCCTAACTTACAGTCAGTAACTATACAATATCATCAATTGGAAAAGTTTACTGAATATTAGCAGTTATGTACGTAACCTACTGATCTACAAGAATCAGAAATCAGTTAAGTGATAAATGTATGTGATTGACCAAGAAATGGCTTTCATTCCTAAGGCGTAAGACATACATTAATAGTGGCTTGATTTTCTAGTGGATATATATATATATATCTTTGAAGTTTTCCAAGAAATTTTATTTATCTAGGTTTGATTTATTTTTGAATTTAAGTATTTATTAAATTGTATAGTAGTTAATTTATGATGGTATCGATTAAGCTATTGTTACTCACACTGTTATACTCCCAGATAAACTTCTGAATATCGGGTTATTTGGAAGAGTATGATATGTTTAAAATTAAAATAAATTACATGAAAAGAAATAAAATTATTCTATATTGTGTAAACAATTTTCATAAATTCACTTAGTATTGTTTATTTGAATCTTCCCATTAATGTTAAGGAATGCAACTGGTCAGTCTTTAATTGGCATATGTGCATATTGTGTGTATTGCCTCGATATAGCCTTAATTCACAAGCATTGTAAGCAAAGATGGATAGTGGCTAGCAGTGAAATCCAGGACGCGCGTTTCATCCTATTTGGGACTCGTCAGCTGGACGTATCTGCATCTCGGAGTTGGTGTTCACTCTGGGACTCCAGCCCAGTACCTTTCGCTTCAAACGCCATCGCGTTATCCACTCAGCTACTGAGTCCTGATAGCCACTTGCTTGTGCAACGGAGTGAAGCTTAAATTCACTTAGTATTGTTTGTTTGAATCTTCCTATTGATGTTTAGGACTGCAACTGGTCAGTCTCTGATTGGCATATGTGCATATTGTGCGTATTGCCTCGATATAACCTTAAATCACAAGCATTATAAGCAAAGATGGTTGCGTCCTGGATTACACTGCTAGCCACTCTCCATATTTACTTACAATTTTCATAAATGTATCCACAAATCTAATATTCGCTAATAATTCACAAAAGAATGATTGTTTCAATTCTTTAAGAAATCTTTTCACTTTTTGAAATAATCAACTGGTTTGAAATCTTAGTTACAAACTTGTCATAGACGAATAAGTTTGGTTGCACACTAGGTTACTTACTGTGGAACCTAGTCCTTATGGTCATGTCTTCTGCTTTTAAATAATTCGCCGAATTATTCTCCATAGAACTCTCAGAATGTACAAAAAAACTTTTGAAAGCTTTTTGGTTTTCTAACTTATATAATCTTGAGTTGTGAACTATTGTGTAGTTAAACTTATTAATTGGTTTTGAATGATACTGATGATTAGAATAAAGGTGAATTATAGTTAAATAGGTATGTGGAAGTTTACTGAGTTTCTGTTTTCATAATTACACTCATTCGCGTGTAATAGAAAACCATTTATAATTTATTAGTGATTTGATATAAACTCTCAAACTAGTGTATCTAAGGCATCAGAAGATGAAAAAGAAAATCAAAATTGAAAAGTAAATTACTAAGCAATACAATTTTTTGAATACTCCATACACTTAATATCAGGATTCGTTCGGTAGACAACAATAAATTCTCACATTATATTTAGACTCCAGTGTAAACAATTTAAGAAGACATCTAAATTTTATTATCAATATTGTATTACAAAGATTCTGGAATAAACTTGTAGTCTCTTTAATTAAAACGTGTGATCATGTAACTGTGAAGTATGGTTCTTACAAAACAGAATACTATGATCTGGTACTTGAAACTTTTCTTGTGTGGATGTAGTGAACAAAAACACTGATGAGGGACAATCAAATGTATCTAAGCATAGATTACAAACTATCTCACTAAATTCTGATAACCATACAGCAAACAGTTAATTTGCAAAATAACAACCGATTGTCTCAATCTTCACTGTTCCTTCTGCAAATATCAGTTCATCTACTCTAATTTCATTGTTCATGCATTTTCCTACCCATTGCGCTTCATTCCTATTCGTTCCTTATCGATCTTCCGCCAAAATACATTCTATGTCTGACCATCACCACATACTATTTATATGGATATAAGTAGACGACACTACATGGATAGCTTATGAATACAATAATAACTCAAAGAGTATATTTTCTTGGTATGACAGAGTTATTCCTACATCACTCGGATATCTTTCTGCACTTTCAGATTGTTGATTCCTAAAGAAAACTACAATAAAATCTCAGTAAATCAGTGAAAATGGTCTCTTCTTTAGTTTATTGTAAAAAATTAAAGAAAAAAGAACTTATCATTTAAAATATCATATTCGATCAATTAATGTTATTGATCACATGAAATAATTATACAAATATGCAAACTAAGAATGAACTAATTAAATCATTACTTTCATGAGATTAAACAAAATTGATCTATTTTCGGCATCGTAAAACATTTTTTTGTGTGGTTGCATTAAAGTAATAAGGGTCACTCAGTTTAGCACTGGAATACTTAGTGTGTATGTGCATGGGGTTTATATTTAAGTAGTAAGATATTGAATAATATAGAAAAAACTCGATTGTATGTTATTCATTTAAATCCTTTTCACCGTTCTGCGTTTTTTACTCATTTCAGTTTTGTTTGCTCATATCAGTTATTCATTTTGTTAATGATTTTTAAAAGTACGAATAATCATACTGGTGTTGACACTTTTTAGGAAATAACAATCGAAATTCATAAATTTTTGATTGGTCAGTATGAGAAGGCCTCATTACATACTTCTCTGAATGCTTCAGAAACGACAATTGAGAGAAAATTCTTTCTCAAATATTTGAACTGTGTATTTCATACAATATGCTGAAATAAATAGACTTAAAGTATTACTTTAGAAGTCTTCAAGATCAGTGAGTGTCAGATTATTACAAAGGGTTATTGATAATAAACAAAACATTGGAAAAATATTTATGGAGGTATATTTTTAAAGGAACTTGCTCACACACACATTTAAACCATACGCATACCTCAAATGACACTGTGTTCTTGAGTGAATTCTGCTCTGATATATTCAGGATAAGACTATGTGATGCGGAAAAGGTAGATTATGACTCTCCTAATATGGTCAGATGCTTCATAACTATCTAATGGGGAAAATTCAGCAAGATATCTGGAATGGTACCATAGATTCGATCTTGAAGACCGATAAGGATTAATACCGACCTCCAGTCGCATCAGGCATATCGAAGATCAGCAGACCTTGTAGGATTATATAGTCCCCACATACCCCTTGGAACTGTATATTTTTTTCAGTGGAGAGTCATAGCTTGGTGGAAACTAGTCATGTTATGAAGCTTCTGTTGGATCCTGGAGCATGACCAAGGATGGTCGAAGGTCATGGGAACGTGTACCTTCTAGTTAATTTGTCAAAGGGTTGCTCATTCTTGTCTCATGCGGTATTAAAGAAGTCAGGGAGGTTAGTCAATCATAATCTAAAAGTCTTTGTTTAGTCGCAGTACAAAGACCATGTATTGGTAGCTCTTTTGACTGAAAGGTAATGCATGGCATCATTACTGTTCGTTAAGTCCGTTAATACAGTAATCCTAATAGCAAGGGAGACGATTTCTATGAGCTGTGGAGGAGTGAAAAAGTGGGGCGTAAATTGGTTGAAGGGATCAGTTTGTTCATATGCAGGTTTAGTTGTCGTGTTCATTATTCCATTAACAATTCGTCCAATGAATTATATAAAAAAATCACTCAATATACATGTTTAGTTTCGTAAAGAGTGGCGCAAATTTTAAGGTTATTGGTAATTCTCGCGTTGTTTAGAAGCCGCTAATGGGCATAGTCTATAGAAGTGTAAAGGTAATTTTTCTTCAACTTGTTAAACTACATCCATGCAGATATTACCTACGAACCTAACTTTTCCCATTCGACAAAAGGTTTGTCTGCATTTCAGTTTTATATGACTGCGTTTTATTTATTTAATATCTAAGGGCATGATTTCAGCATGTGTTATTTGTCATAAACAATAGTAGTTGTCACTATCTAGTTACTTAATAATTATAAAATGAGAATACATATAATAGTAGTCTATAAATAGTTCTCAGAAGTTACCTATAATTTAATCTTCGGAAACAATACTTTTTACTTGTGGAATAAGTCTTATCTAGAATTCTAGATTTTTCAAAAAGAGCTTTTAGCTTTTGATAGAATATCAACACTTATGTGCTCTGATGATCTAACTGTGAACAATTTGACTGTAACTAAAGTTTAATTTACGGTTTTTATTCAATGTAACTTTCACTCAGGAATGATTGCTGCTACTAAGAAAGGATTACACTACCTTTTGGATAAGAATAGTTGCAAACAAACAGGAAATTTTGTTGTTGTTGTTCTTGGTGGAGCTCCTGAAGCCTTAGATTCAAAACCTGGAACATATAAGATACATATTAATCAACGTTTTGGTTTTTTCAAGTTGGCTTTAAAAACTGGGTAGGTGTTGATTCAAGTTTAGTCTTTTTTTGAATATTACATAAATTTTCAATGAAAAATTTTTTATTGACATGATAATGCAGAAAATGAAAGAACTATTGAGTGATATTTCTCATTAAATGTGTAAAATAGAAGTATGGTACTAGAAAATAATCTTGGCTTTATCAAGTGACTATGACTTGGACTTTCTGGAATATATAGCTTAATAAATCAGATAATACCCAATACATCTTTTAAATAATTACAAATATCTTACTAAATTTAAGTAATATATACTTACTTACGCCTGTTACTCCCAATGGAGTATAGGCCGCCGACCACCATTCTCCAATCCACTCATTCTGTCACGAGCCTTCCTTTCTAGTTCTATCCAACTTTTGTCCATTCTTCTCATATCTGTCTCCATTTCTCGGAGTAATGTGTTCTTTGGTCTTCTTCTTCTCCTTTGGCTTTCAAAACTCCATGTCAGGGCTGACCTTGGGACGCAGTTGTGTGCTTTCCTCAATGTGTGTCCTATCCACTTCCAACTCTTCTTCCTGATTTCTTCTTCCACTGTAATCTGGTTTGTTCTCTCCCATAGTAGGTTTTTGCTGATAGTGTCTGGTCAACGGATCTGAAGTATCTTGTGTAAACAACTGTTAATAAACACTTGTATCTTTTGGACGATAGCTTTTGTAGTTCTCCACGTCTCCACCCCATACAGTAGAACTGTCTTGACAAATATATCCTTTAAAAAATAATATAAATATGTTTAATAGGTTTGAAAATCTTTTTAAAACCTATAACAGTCAGATACACTATTTCAAGATTATGATTTTGCTACATTAAATCAGTGAATTAAAACAGCAAAAGTTTTCGAGATGAATCTTTCCATTTCCATTATCAAATATATTGTACTTGCTAAAACATAGAGATATATGAAAATTATTGGTTTATACCTTCAAAGATGATTCGTTATCAAACCATGGCTTTTCATTTTTTACAAAAGGGTCAATAACTAATATTGTTATATTCAGTAGGTTACTTACAAATAAGTGAGTACTACACTTATTACTAATAAATTAAAGTTGTGATAAACTGTGAATGGACATTGGTTGACGGAAACTGTTTTACCTGAAAACCACTAGTTTAAATGAAGTTTATAAAATCTGTTCTTTGCATATAGTTATAATTCTATTAGTTAATCAGCTTTATTTTTCATTATTTCAAGTAATTCATATAACTAATTATTAAATGAATGAATCACTTGTATTTCAATGTGTGGAATGATTTGACTATGAAAATATAAAGTAACTGAAATTGTATTTGCCAGTTGAGAATACAAATAGGTAAACATAAGTTCCCGAATTCAGTCAATGCAAATATGCCATGTACTAACATATATTTTTGGTACTGATAAAACCTTCATCAGTTGTCACTAATTCGTCCCCTAGATTGCCTCATAACAAAAAACAAAAAAAATCTGAATTGTTTTCGTTAATTTTTCAATTGACAGATAATAAACATACAAATAAATCACAGTATCCTCATTCACGTTGCTAAAAATTTAACATTTGTACTTTAAATATGCTACTGTTGGATTATTTTTGTGATAATATGGTAGTTATTGACTTGTTCTAGTTTTGAATGTTGTCCACAGTTTATCAGTAATTGGTAATTGATGCTAATAACAAACGTGAGTACCTCGTTTACTGATTGTTGATGAACCTCAAGAAAAAACCATCAACTAATTTGTAAACTTGTAAATATTTATGATCAAACCATTCGTAAACTGACTAGAATTACTTTGTCAGTGATATTTATGACTTAAATTGATTGTAACATTTTAAGCTGTTGTGTGATGTAGTAAAAAAGAGCAGCATATTTACAACTGAAGAAAATCTGTAACTCAAAACAATTGTCAACCAACACCAAGATCAGAATTTTCAATACAAATGTCAAGACAGTTCTACGGTATGGGGCGGAAACCTGGAGAACTACGAAAGCCATCATCCAGAAGATACAGGTGTTTAGTAACAGTTGTCTACGCAAAGTACTTCAGATCCGTTGACCAGACACTATCAGCAAAAACCTACTATGGGAGAGAACAAACCAGATTCTAGTAGAGGAAGAAATCAGGAAGAAGAGTTGGAAGTGGATAGAACACACACTGAGGAAATCACCCAACTGCGTCCCAAGGTCAGCCCTGACATGGAATCCTGAAGGCAAAGAAGAAGAGAAAGACTAAAGAACACATTACTCCGAGAAATGGAGACAGATATGAGAAGAATGGACAAAAGTTGGATAGAACTAGAAAGGAAGGCTCGTGACAGAATGAGTGGATTGGAGAATGGTGGTCGGCGGCCTATACTCCATTGGGAGTAACAGGCGAAAGTAAGTAAGTAAGTAAGTAAGATGTAGTAAAAGTCCAATCTATCAAAATTTTGAATAATATTCCCGCACGTTTTGAATCATCTTACAGGATACTTTATTCTTTTCTTAAACAAAACGTCATTTGTTGCTTAACCACCTTCCCATTATGATTTTAAACTGGTTAAAAATGTATATTTGATATATGTTAAACGATTGTTTTTCACAGTCACAGATCATTTGTTATCGTTTTATATTCTTGTGAATCCATCAGATAAATACCATTAGAGAAACAATCTCATTATTTTCTCATTCATGCTATTTAGTACAGTCCAATTATTATTACCACAATAATCTACTCAGTCATATCAAACAAACATTGGCTATGTATGTGAACTCAACCTAAGATTAACAAAGTAATTTACAAAATATCTGTTATTTAGAAGCTTTGTAAGGATGTCAAACAAATAAATATTCTATATATTATAATAACAGCAAACATTGTAAAGTCTGAATATTAAAAGCATTAAAGTTGGAATTAAATAATCTAAACAAGATAAATAGGTAGTTGGGTAAAAACTTTTAGCTTCTAATATGGATGAAGTAATTTCGCATTAGAAAGGAAATAAAATGACGAATCCCAAATAGGACGAAACGTACGTGCTGGATTCCACTGCTAGCCACTATCCATCTTTACTTACGATGCTTGTGAATTAAGGCTATATCGAGGCAATACGCACAGTATGCACATATGCCAATTAGAGACTGACCAGTTGCAGATCTCAACACCAACGGAAGATTCGAACAAACAATACTGATTGTTATCTTGAAAGTTTGTTGAAACAAAACTTGTATTGTTTGGTAATATATTTCATGAAAATTGTTGACTTAATACATTTTAACGTGTAAATCTACACAATCCTATTTCTGAGATTTTTCAATCCCCTACCTCTATAACTTATTGTGAGTCAGCAATGACGTTCGAAATCCTGAACATCTAACTGTTTGAATGTCCTTCAGCCCTTGTAATAACAGGACAAGCACAAAATAATTCTGTTTCTACCATTTAGTTGATGTATTGTAGATAATCTAATTTATGCTGATCTATTCTTATTTTAATTGAAGATCATATTTGGTACCGTGTATATCATTTGGTGAACAGAGCTTATATCATCAAGTTCCAAATGAAAAAGGATCATGGATACGATGGTTACAGGATAAATTTACGTCGATTTTTACCGTTGCATTGCCTATTTTCTATGCTCGTGGTCCCTTTCCGTATCGTAAACCAGTCTATACTGTAGGTATGTTACTATTTACGTTGAAGAATTGCAGTTTCCGGCTCTTGTAGGACTTTTTTATAGATGATCATTCACAAATTGTTAAATTTTAAATACTGACTACTTAGTGAATGATTCTTTAAGAAACGTTTCTTTTTTGCGCACTATGTATGGAGAAAATTCATGAAGTTCAATCCTTACATTTTATGAAAACCCAAAAAGAACTGAGAATCGTAATTCTTGACTGCTAACCAGCACATGAGCAGCTCATATAGTCCCCTTGGTATCAGCTGAATTCATATGTTGGTTAGATGTTCAGAAGCAGCTACTGTTGAAGTCTAAGACTGGTGTCATTTTTTTAACACTATGGGATTTGAAGCTATGGTCACCAAGTCTAGATATTATCTGTAATTGAGGTGGGAGTGAATCTAGCTGAAGAGTCCATATAAAATGAGACCTTTATAATGGATTATGATGCTAACCACCATTTAATGTGAAATCGTTTTCAAATATGTAAAACTGCTTTACCGTTCAAAATAAATCTGTACAGACCACAGTTGCCATTGACTAACCTCGCACAAAATCCACATTGTTTCTTTGAATTGTTTTGTAAACATGTCAGGGATACATGACTGTTTACAGGTATTCCCATCAATCAGAAAATTAAGTACAAAACTAATTTGGATACGTAATATTTCGAGACACTTTAGCATAAATAAACTATAGTGTCTGAAACTAAAGACTACATTTAAAAAACATCAGTGAAGGTACGTATTGTAGTAAATTCAGCCAGGTCAGTTTATTATAACTAAACAAGAATTTGTAGCTAAGAATTCTACCGATTTGAGTAAACAACTATTTACTATCATGTTGTATCTCGAAAAACACTTCTTTTCTTACAGTTGGTGCTCCAATTCAATGCGAACAAATACATGAACCTACAGATGAACAAGTTGCACATATTAAACAAATTTATAAAGAAAAACTCCGAACACTATTTGAAGATTACAAGGCGATTTACGATCCAGAAGCTAATGATATTGAATTTGTATAGATGAAAAAATTATGTATAATTTTGTGGTTAACATTAAGAAATTCCTAAGACTATTTTTGATTCATTTATCAAACTAACGTAATCATATATTATACAACTGAATAAAAAAAGTTAAGAACAATGCATCTTTAACGATCACGATTAAATTGTATCTTTATTGAATACTTTCTCTTAGCTAATTACTATACTTACCAATAGGTGTTTGGTGTTTGGTTTGTTTGTGGTAGATTGTTTGCATGCCCATGTCCATGCGAAGCATGCATATGAGTGTTTGTGTGTGGATGTCTGTTTGGATTGTAGTGATGGTGGTGTTTTTGCGTTGATTGTAGTGTTTGTAGTTGAAGGTGTTGTGGTATGGTGTGGTGTTGGAGTTTTTATTTTGTGATGCTCACATCCAAATATGCAAATGCATCTGTAGCTACTGAGGATGGGATTACTGTCCACCTTCGTTTGTTGAAATGGGAATTTCTTATCCTAAACTATTGTTATTCATAAATAAATAATATATTTGTAATATCCAGATATGTAGAAAAATTAAACTTTCTGACGTTTCGTGACTCAGTGTAGGCCACGTATTCAGAGAATAAATAACCAAATTAACATTAATCCAAATTTAAATAGTACAACGGAACAACATGAATATTAGGTGCAAACAATCAGACCTCATCGGGATGTTTGAAATGTATTTTAGATAAATCTTATAAGTGAGGTAACTGTTCTCCTTTCGGCTTGAGTTCATTGCACGTAGGATTATCGATTAAATTCTTATTCACGTGTTTTGTCAACTCCTTTAAAAGACGCTACTCAGTTGCGTCCATCAGTTCTTTCTGAGTATTGTTGATGATAAATGTCATGGATTCATTTTAAATGAACAATACTATGCTATCGTATTCGTCTCTGTTTAGGATAATTACACTGGAATCCCTGTCTGATCGAAGTAACATTAGTGTTTTGTACTTCACAAGTTTTCCCAATGCTTTCTGTTGGTCTTTAGCGAACAACTTAGAATGTGCAACTGGTGTTTTTATGTACTGATTGGTAATATTCACTAATTTCCATTTCTACCAACTTTGTTTTTCATCATTCATAGGTTTTAGGTCTGATATAAATACTGTTGATAACAATATTTAGATTGAGTTTCAGTGTCGATATTTGCAATTTTTTTCATAATGTAAAATTCAAATACGAAGGAGAATTTCTGTTTCAATTAATCCTAGCTTTTTACTTGATAAATTCTGTATACATCTTTCCGGATTAATAGGAAAGACGACATGATTTTGTTGTTTTACAAGTGTTTTGGTTAATATCTTTATAAATATACGGTTGGTTATTGATTAAACATTATAACTGAGATCCGTCAGTTGAATTCAACGTCCAATATTTAAATTTGTAACAGTTTTATCAAAAGCAAGGGATTCTATTTTGAGTTTAGAGATTAGTTCCTTGGTACATTCGATTTGAGATTTTGTGACACGTCGTAGATTTTTCAGTGAAGAAGGCATTTTATACGCACGATTTGATGAAGGAAGCAGCCATCATTCAAGCACTGTCCATAAACTTTAATCTCGTTGTTTCCCCCGATATCCTTCAACAGATAGCCACCGAACAAATTGAGTGACAAGTAAAAGTGAACAGGGAAGCGACTTTTCAGAAATTTCAAGCAGCTGGTTACCAATAAGAATTTGAATAAGACTAGGGCCACGATTTTGACAGAATAATATAAATTCATTGTATTACGTGGTTTCCAATCAGCTACATACAACAATATATAAACTGAAATAAAAAATTGAGGTATGATATAATGTGAAACAATTGAAACAAATAATGAAAATAATTAAAATCCATAAGAGAAACCAATTCCTTGAAATTCTACCAAATATCATACACGCTCACATCACTATCGATCTCATCCATCAGATGAGTACCGACGACAATTCAAAACTCAATCACACAATTTGCCATCCTCAGAAAAGATTAATTGACAGTAATTCTATTAAGCATTGCAAAGGTGTTTCATTGAAGTCATTTTTGCATCGTGCACACTGATAATATATTCAAGCTCTGTTTGAGCACCATCACAAAAATACATATCTTATGACTTCATTTCATATCGTATTCTCGCTTTCAATTTTTTTCCGTAATGTTTCTGCTATTTCTGCAACATAATTCATGTGACAGTACAACAATTTTACGTGAGATAAATTGTTATACTTTTTGATTTTCAGTAGCATGTCACAATAAACAAATAATATTCAGAAATTGAGTAACGAGGCAGCATGAAAACGTTTGTTTAGCGATTTTAAAAGAAATTTACATTCACAACAAGACTGTCTTGATCAAAAAATATACATAAAAATCAAACCCACACATCACGTTTATCTGACAAACTCGTTATTCATATAATTAGGCAGAACAATTTCTCACGGATGAGCGGTAAAATAACAACATAGAAAAAATAAAGCAAAAATAAAAATGTTAGATATGAAAAGAGTGTCAAAAAAGTCATCAAAAAAAGAAAAATGACCTTACGATGAAGAGAAAGAAAAATCACAGGAAGAGACAAACCAAAGACGAAAAGAAAATCCTCCATCGGAACAGAATTGAATACGAATTAAATCAAATAAAAAGTAATTTTTAGAAAAAAGATTATTAGATTATTAGTTCACATCTCCAAAACCACACCATACCACAACACCTTCAACTACAAACACTACAATCAACGCAAAAACACCACCATCACTACAATCCAAACAGACATCCACACACAAACACTCATATGCATGCTTCGCATGGACATGGACATGCAAACAATCTACCACAAACAAACCAAACACCTATTCTACAACAACACCATCATCATCATCAACATCAACAACAATCATACACTCTCCAGACAAACGGAGTGCTCTCATCAAACCCGACTGAACATAAACATCTGGTAGTCGGTGTTAGAGGCATGTGATTCCTCGAGATCGGTCGAGACCTACAACAGTGTGTGGAGTCGCGAGTCAATCACCAAACACAATATCACGTGATCGTCTCATCAAGACACGTTTAGGTGTGATTGTGGGTGAGCGTGTTGATGAGCATTTCAATGTACGTCTGTTCGTCGATGCCAAGTGGTACATGAGGAGGTCACAAACGAATCGGTCATGTTGAACACCGTCATGATGATGGAGATGAGGGGAACAGGGTGACGACGATCGTGGTCATTAGCGATTTGTTGGTGACCGTATTGGCAATGAGCATGATGATGACAATTTGGGAGATGAGTTCACTCCACCATTGGGTTTCTCAATCTCCGTCAGTTAACCGACGCATTATTGTGAACACACGATCACTCGATGAGCACAGTATATTTCCAGTGGTCGTCCATCCGAAATGTGTTAGTGTGTACACGTGTCGAAATCTCAACAGTACATATGGACGAGGAACTCACAATTGTATCGACAGTGATGTCCGACCAAAATGAGATTTGGGAAGGCGATCCGAGATAGGATTCCGATCTGTTGTTGATGATACACACCACAATATAGGTATATAGAAATGTGTATATAAATATTCTGACATGTGTGTGTGTGTGTGTGTGTTTGAGTGAATAAACATCAGTAGGAGAGTTTCCATACATATATTTGAAAGTGTATACGCATTTGAAACTTGTACAGTGTATTGTGTGATCGACTTTTGAATTGTCGTCGGTACTCATCGGACGTGTGAGATAGATAGTGAGGGTGATTGTGCATGATATTTGGTAGAGTTGTCTGTTTGTTTTCTTAGTATTTAGTGTGTTAGTATGTGGTTGATTGTGGAAAAGTGAAGGGGGCACCCGGGTTTGAACCGGGGACCTCTCGATCTGCAGTCGAATGCTCTACCACTGAGATATACCCCCGATTTCGCCACTGTCACAAGTTCACATCTCCAACACCACACCATACCACAACACCTTCAACTACAAACACTACAATCAACGCAAAAACACCACCATCACTACAATCCAAACAGACATCCACACACAAACACTCATATGCATGCTTCGCATGGACATGGACATGCAAACAATCTACCACAAACAAACCAAACACCAAACACCTATTCTACAACAACACCATCATCATCATCAACATCAACAACAATCATACACTCTCCAGACAAACGGAGTGCTCTTGTAGCTGTAAATAATTCCCCAAAATCAATATTTCATTAAGTGTTCGACATTGGATGCTGACGACGTGTTTATGTGGACTTGTTTAGCTGATGGCTTTCGGTCATGCATCCGTACCAGATCACGTTTCAACACGGCGTGGGACACAGCTCCTACGTTTCATTAGCCAGCTCATAGAAAAGTTCCTCGATATATTGCTAACGAATCAAATATATCTTTCCTGCATCTTCTCGTCTGAATTCTGATTTCTATCTGACTGGGAACGATCAAATGTAGAAGGTGCTACTGGTAGCTAGTTGTAAATCTAGAACAACCGTTGCATCATGATTGGTGAGACCGACGTGATCTGGTACACCAAGTCAATATACTGTGAGTCTGTTCCATTTTGGAATATTATTATTCATTGTTATTCTTTATTTGAATTTTATATATTGTGATATACTTTTTTTGGCGAATTTTTTTTCTCGGATATATTTTAGACATTTTTCGTTATCTATATTACTATGACGGAACACTCACCTAAGGTTCTTAAGTTTAAGTCTATTCCCCCTATTTCGATTCAGTTAACGCCATTTTGGCCCGACAATATCGAGTCCTGGTTCTGCTACGCAGAAGCCGATTTTAGCATGCACGGAATCACGGACTCGCGCACACGTTTCCTCGCGGTAGTTAAGGCGTTACCGCGCGAGTTTAACAGGTACGTAACACCAGTATGTTTACTAGTGATGTTCCCGAACCTTACGAAACGCTTAAGCTATCGATTTTAAAACGAGGAGACCTAACTGATCGACAATGGTTAGACCAACTCCTTAACAATATCGAATTGCAACATGGTTCTGCGACGGATATGTTGCTTAGAATGAGAGAAGTCATCGACCAACGAACTTTCGATGATGGCCTATTTAGACAACTTTTCTTGTCTAAACTCCCTCAACAGGTGCAGGCAGTGCTTGTTTTATTTCAAAACAATGCCATAGATGAACTAGCTGCATCTGCCGATCGAATCTTGGAAATCACTAGATCTTCTAAGGCCGAGGTTTTTTCCGTCAAAGAAAAACCCCAATCGACCTCGACTGACATGGCCGAACTATGTCACACGCTTACACGATATCTTAGAGTTCGCAATGACCGTAGTCGGTCAAAAACCCCGCGTAGAAGCGCCTCACGTAAGCGATCTGGCTCTCGACCACGAGTGACAGACAATCCCGACTGGTGCTGGTATCATAACCAGTACGGTAAGTTTTCCAGAAATTGCAGGAAACCTTGCAATTATCCGACTTCAAAATCGACTGACACGAATAAGATTTCGGGAAACTACCCAGCCGGAACGCGTTAACGGCAACCGTAGCCGGCGAACAC